TGGTACTTTAGTTAAGTACTTGATATTAGCCATCAGGTTGGAGATTTAAATCCACCAGCCATTCCCTCAGAAACTATACCGTGTTGTCAAAACCACCTCAGAAGCACTTAACAACAACAACAAGCCTTATAGATTTGCATGGGTAATCTTGTGTTACTATGCAGAGAAGATACCCAGTATACATGTAGCAGAAACTGTGGGTAGTATATTCAGTTAACAATTTTACTGTCATCAGATTGTTGTTGTTGTTAAGTGTTGTTAAGTGCTGTGAAGTTGATTCCGACCCATAGTAACACTAAATAGGGTTTCCCAGGAGCGAACTGGTAAGCTTGAACTGTCGACTTTGCGGTTCAAATCTACTTTGCAGTCCAGCGCATTCATCCACAGCACCACACCAGGGTATTCTCTTTGTAGGGCTAGCATTAAAATAAAAATGCAAGAGGGGCTGAAACATCAAAATGGGGCTTCATAAAAATACTTGTTTCAAATAGAGACATTTAGGGAGGCTAGCATGCTATTCCTACCTGATAGAAACTTCAATTTGTTGCTAAATAAAAAATAATGTAGCGAGTTGCATTGGGTTACTTAACTTCTGTGAACTTTATAGAAATGTTTTATATAAACTAGCCAAAAAAATTTTTTTTGTGGTTGTTGTTGTAGTGTAAGTTTCCATTTAGGGTTGTAATGTGGAATTCTGTAAATAATCATTCTTAAATCATGGGAGTAGTGTTTGTGTAAACCAATTCTGGTTCTATGTTTCTCACACTACGTGAAACTATATTATTTTCTGAAATGTAAACAGTAATGATGATACATATGACTTGTTCAAAGTTATTTATTGATTTTTATTACAAGTTATTGATGATAAGGCATTAACTGTTCTAGAAGTTGTGTTTAATTTGGGTGTACAGTGTATGGATATAGATATTTGTATCTGGAAATTGTATGCTTGTTTTGCTTCTGTATTTTGCAAATGTAATCACAGTATGTTGAATATGGGGAAACACTGTGCCTGATTATGTGGATGATAACAAAATCCTTAGAAAATATCTACTCAGTATTAAACATTAAATACTGATGATAAGCTAAGTATAAGGTTATCAGTTGTCCTTCCTTATGTGTTATTTATAAGTCACATCAGAGTAAAGTATTTGAAAGCTTTGTTTTCATATAGTTTAAATTATCTTTCTTATACAACAGTTATACACAAACTGCTTTTAAAGAAAATACTTTAGTACAGCCTCACTTTAATAATTAAAATATGAATCGGGAGAATTATATTGTGTACAAGCTTTAGAATATCAATTAAGAAAACATATTTAGATAGATTTATGTATCCTCTTCAACCATTTAGCATAACGGTCCAACATTTTATTTGGTGCACTAATGTAATGAAGCATGTCCACAAAAATTGTTAAATAGCAATTAAATAATTTCCTAAATTCCTTCAAGTTAAGATGAAAGTTGAACAAGAAGTGTTAGAACTTGAGCATTTATCAAATTGAGTACGTCTTAATTGTTGGTTTGGAAGGTTATGTTTATGGTGTACAAGACAGTTTATAAGTTATTTCATAAGCCTAAATATGAATGTAAGCTTAATAAAAACAGTGGTAATTAGCTATGGTTCTAGACGAGTGAATCGTATTTTCCCCCTTCCCTTGCCCCATTACAGAATGAACAAATTAATGGAATTAGCAAATCTTCAGCCCAAAAGACCAAAAACAATAAAGCAGCGCCATGTGAGAAAAAAGCGAAGAATAAAGGATATGTTAAATACACCTTCATCTGCTTCACACAGGTAACTGTTGTGGATTAGAAAACAAATATTTTATCTAATTGTTTAACTGATGTAATCCCTCACTGTGAGCTTTTGATTCCTCTACTTAGTTCACCAGTTGTTTCCTAATTCCAAGACTTACAGGTATTTACGATTATCTGACAGTTGACCAGTTTATGATAGTATTAACTATCTTAAGGTCTCAGAATTGTTCACCTTCTTCTACCATAAAAATCAATAGTCCCAGAAGCCCTGTAGAAGATTTTCTGAGACAAAGTAATAACTGTACAGTTTTGAAAAAAAAAAAGAAAATACAGTCAGTTGAGAAATCTACAAAGGCTTTGAAAAGTAGGTGACTTGGAGGTGGCCTTTGAAAGATGAGAGGCAAAAATTTGATAGAGAAGAGATACCAATGGGAAAAGAAAAGGATGAAACATCAGAGGTAAGAAACTGATGAGTAAGAATAGAAATGATGAAAGAGAAATTTGTTGAGAGAAATGCTTTAAATCTTTAAATGCTGCTGTTAGGTGCCATCGAATCATCTGTGACTCATAGTACCCTATGTGTAATAGAATGAAGCACTGCCTTGTTCTGTGGTAGCCTCACAATAGTTGCTGTGTTTGAACCCATTGTTGTAGCCACTATAACAGTTGATCTTACTGAGAATCTTCTTCTTTTTCACTGACACTGTACTTCATCAAGCATGATGTCTACTAGGGACTGATTTCTCGTGATAACTTGTCCTTTGTTAACACCATAATACAAAGTTAGCAATTATTTGGTCTTTATTCATGGTCCAGTTTTTGCATGCAGATGAAGCATTTGAAACTACCACAATTTGTGTCAGTCACTCATTGATTGATCCACAAAGTGACATATTTTGAAAAAAAGGTCTTTTGCAGCAGAATCAAATGATTTAAAATCTAATTATTACATAATCACCTCCATGGGAATAGTTATATTTCAAGTACTTATTGGCAGTATATGGATAGTGGCTACTCTGTTGGACAGCACAACTGTAGCATATAAAATATGGTATATAAAAATGCATTAAATAAAATACATTTTTGCATATTTAATGATCTGGGATGTAGACTTAGTAGTTCTCAAGTTCTGTCTCTTCCTTTTGCTTAGTGATTTCATGCAAATTATACTTAGCATTTCTTAACCTCATCTTATTCATGAAGTAGGAATTTAATAGTATCCATATTAATAATACTATTATTAATACCAGCGCCTGGTGTGGAGCTGTGGATTAATGCTCTAGACTGCACTGTCAGTTTCAGGCTCATCAGTCGCTCCTTGGAAACCCTCTAGATGGTTGCTATGGGTCGTAACCAACTTGATGGCACTTAACAACAACAACATATTAATAATATTATTTCATATACACCATATTGTTAGGGTTTATTTAAATATTCAATGTAAATTACTTTCTGCAATGCCTACAGTGAGTGCTTTGTCAGTACTACTTTATTAAATTTGAAGTAAATTCAAAATAATATTTTAGGAGGCGGGCTGGGGTGGCGATGAAGTGAGGTTTGAAGTGAGGTTTGCCGTTAGCAATACTACAGAATACCAGGCAAAGCAGATTCAGAGCAGAGCTCCAAAACTCAGAACCATGTAGGTAGGAATATTTTAAAAGTTTGAAGGCTTATAGCCAGTGG